TAATCCAATTGTTATATATATATATATATCAACCGTCGTTACTATTTCAATTGATTTTCATTCAAAATCTCTATTCATATTGGGTTTTTACTCATAATAATTATTTAGGTTGCTTTTTATTTCGAACAATTATTTAGAATGAATATCAGAATAATGCCGATCAGAATTATAAACTAATATAATTAATTTTTTGAAAAATAAAAAAAAAACTTTTTATTATCTTAACGAAATAACGCGTAATTATTCATAACAACTGAATTTATCTCTACGGGAACTATCCCCATTCGGTGAAATGAATATATCTTAATACTTGAATTCTTTGATCTCGCCTGCATGAATTCCTTTCATAAGATGTAAATAAGAAAAGAAGAAGGGGGTAGCTGATAATGTCACGTGACGTTGTCAAAGGGCAAGAAGTTTATGCGAAGATCGATCCGTCATAAAAAAAATAAAAAAAATAGGAGAGAAATGGGATAAAATATTTCGAGATTAAATGCGTGCAGTCAGAAGTCCGTCTGAGGTTCTTTTGAACTCGAATATACACGCATCATAAGGCATGCATACATCTTTCGAACAAATATATCGGTGGCTCACCCCTTCTTTTGAGGGCTCATCCTGAAAAACAACAGCTCATATTCAGAGGGTTATTTTTTTATTTATTATTTTTTTGCTCAGATACAACTATTTAATTTTTATTATATTTTATAACCATCGTTGAACAACCGATCCAATTTTTTTAGGTTTATAATTACTTATGTTCAACTCAGTAGCATTGGGGAGGAAAACCTCAACGGTCAGTCTGACGGCAAGAGGTCTCTAACGCATTATCCGTCTACAACTGAGGATATTTTACGTCAGCACTGTGGTCGGTGTAAGCTGAATGCAGAATTCGTATCGACAGTCAGCGTTTGCCTTCTATTGAGATGAACCGGGTTCAAATCCCAGCGATGTCTGGTCGATACGAATTCCGCATCCATCTTGTACCTACCAAAGTGCTGACGCGAAATATCCTCAATGGTAGATGGATCATGGGTTCTAGTCCCCATGCCGTCAGGAGCTTTTCGTGGTTTTGCACTCTATGTATCCCAAATGGGACCCCCATTCCATCAAAAAGTCCTCCACGAAGGCAAATTTCTCCCAATACTTGATCCAGGAGTCCCCATGTCTTCTGGATAGGGTTCAAAATTACAAGGCAACGGAGTTGAACATTAGTAGTTGCAAACCTAAGAAGAATTTGGGTTGGCTGTTTAACGACGGTTATAAAATGAAAATACTTGAAAATGATATAACTAACTCTTTTATTTTTGCAAAAATGAGACTTTTCTTTATACAGGCATTTTGCGCAGGACTAAGATAGACAGAATTCAAACCAGTTATTCAGCCGTAGCATGACCGACAGAAACGTTTTTTAAAGCTATGACAAAACCTTCATAAAACAATTTTAAG